AACGTAAGCATTATGAAGGACACATTGGGGTGCCTTGGTGGCTCCGTCGGTTAAGTATCAGACTTCAGCTCAGGTCATGATCTTGCAGTTCATGGGTTCAAGCCCCGTGTCGGGCTCTGTGCCGACAGCTCAGAACCTGGAGCCTGCTTCAGATTCTGTGTCCCCTCTCTCACTGCCCCTCCCCACTCATGTTCCCTCTCTCTCTCTCTCTCTCAAGAATAAACAAACATTAAAAGGTTTTTTAAAAAAAGGACACATAAAGAATCTCTGTATCACAGAGATTATAGAAACTATAAAAAAGGTCAGAGCAGAAATACTAGAGCTGAAAAATACAGCAACTGAAATTAAAAACCTAATGGGTAGGCCAAACAGCAGATTAGAGATGACAAAAAGAGTCACTGAACTTAAAGACAGATCAATAAAAATGATCAAATCTGAACATCAGAGAGAAAATGACTAAAAAACCAAACAGAACCTCAAAGACATGTGGGGCAGTGTGAAGCACCCCGACTCTGTGTGATCTAAGTCCCAGAACGAAAGGAGAAAATAAGAACGGTACACAGAAGAAAAGCACTCGAAGGAACACCAGCCAAAATTTCCCGAGTCAGGTGCAGTGCACCAACACACAAATCCAAACAGTTCAATAAACACAAATCAGGATAAGCATTCACTCTGCAAAGATAAAGAGAAAAATTTTAAGAGCAGCCAGAGGAAGAAAGGATACTATAAATACAGGACCGTATGAATGACAGCTCGCTTCTCCAGAAGACTACAGGGTGAGATCTTTAAAGCAATGCCAGAAAAAACAAAAATAAACCTATAAAGCCACAAGTCTGTATCTAGTGAAACCATCAGTCAAAAATGAAGGCGGGGCGCCTCGGTGGCTCAGTTGGTGGAGCATCCGACTCTTGATTTTAGCTCAGGTCATGATCCCAGGGTTGAGGGGTCGAGCCCCACATGGGACTCCGTGCTGAGCATACAGCCTGCTTAAGATTCTCTCTCTCTCCCTCCACCCCTCTCCCCCACTCATGTGTGTCCTCTCCCTCTCTCTCTCTAAGAAAAAAGAAAAAATGAAGGCAAAATAAAGATATTTTTAAATAAAAAATGGAGAGATTTCATCCTCAGTCAAGCTAAAAAAAATACTGAAGTTCTTTAGGCTGAAGGTATGATACCAGATGGAACTTTAGATCCAGGAAAGAAAGGAAGACTACTCAAACTGGTAAAAATGTGAGGCTATTTTTTTCCTTTCTTAATTTCTTCAAAATATAGGATTGTTTAAATCAAAAATTGCAATACTGTATTATCAGGTTCATAAGGAAGGTATATGTCCCAATGTGTGTGAAAACAACAGCACACAAAATAGGAGAAGGAGGGTGTGGAATGACTTCATTGCAAGGTGTTACAGGTTTTGAAAATACTCACAGAGGAATTTAAAATATAGCACTACAAAAATACTCAACTGGCCCAAAAGAAGGCAGGAAAGAATGAACAGAGGAACAAAAACAGACGAGACAAATGGAAGAAAATAACAAAATGGC